AACATAGCACTTCTAGAACCACCGCCAACATACCTACGGACCTAGCCAAATTTTGAAATGTTATCCCCTGGTTCTAGACTCCCTAACCAAGGGAAATGTCTTACCTGCATCCACCCTCTCTATCCTTTTCAGTATTTTGTAGGCTTTAATAAGCTTACTTCTCATTCTTCAAAACTCCAGAGAATACTGGCCCCGTTTGCCCAATCTCTCTCCTCCATTAACACAATAAAGGTCTGCCAGGGAACTCACTGAAGTTATATAAAACCAGAGGAACTGCAGATGCTGTAAATAAGAAACAAAAACAGAAGTTGCTGGAAAAGCTCAGTAGGTCTGGCAGCACCTGGGAAGAGAAATCAGAGTTAACGTTTCAGGCCTGGTGACCTTTCCTCAGAACTGAAGTTATATGTTTTCTTAGAACTTGCACCTTTGAGACACTGTCACAGAGTGACTTTTTGACCTTTAAATAAAACTTCACAGGCTAACCAAAACCCCATGGCTTCTATTTTGAAATGCAACTTCCAAAAATTATTATTATGCATTATAATTACAAACAATGTCTACACTTCAACAAATACTTATTTTGCTGGCACATACTTTGGGATGTTCCTGAAAAAGACACGTTCATAAATTTTTTTAAATTCACTTGTAGGATATGGGGGTCATTGGCTGACCAGCATTTATCGCTCATTCCTAGTTGTTCTCGAGAAGGTGGTAATAAGCTTCGTTCTTGAACCATTGCAGTCCATATGCACAATGCCTATAGGGAGGGAATTCCAGAATTTTGGCCCAGTGGCAGGGAAGGAATGGTGATATATCTCCAAGTCAGGACGGTGAGCGGCTGAAGGGGGTGGTGTTCTCATATAGCTGCCGTCCTTGTCTTTCTAGATGTAAATGGTCATGGGTTTCCAAGGTGTTATTTAAGGATCTTTGGAGAACAATACTCTGGTCTGTAAGTTTCGAATAACCACCCACTTCAGAGGTTGCACAAAGGTGAGGAGAAAAAGCAAATTGCCATTTCACGATGATCTCCTTGGAATTGGAGCCAGAAATTTGTGCACCTCCCAAACGCACACTTCCTGCAGCAACAGTAGTTAGCTCCTGATAGACCAATTTTTACACACAGCAATGAGACTTAAAGAAAAAACCTAACGACCATTAAGTATAATTAATCTTTCAGAGGAGAATAATAGAGTCAGGGATACATGGCACAACACGCCTGGAAGAATGCAAAAAGTATCTCATTGCCTCACGGGAGATCTGCAAGTAAGCTGTAAAGCCAATGAGTTCAATTTCAATTCTCCCTTAAGTACTAGAATATACACAAGAAATGAACTTAAAAGATAAAACAGTCCCTTTTAGAAAAAAAATCTTTAATGAATGTCTGTCAGTCACGAAACACTTTCTTCAGCAGTTGTGACCATTCATTTAAAAGGACAACTTTAGCTTGAGCTACAACTATTGGTTACATTTTAACCATTTAAAATGTTGAAAGATGCTTTTAGCACATTAACAAGAGATAATCTGCAGTTTTGCTATCTCCCCCATCTCCTCCTCCAATATTAGAGTCCTTTTGTAAGTTGTAGGATTGCGTGAATACCTTTTGAACACTCAGCAGGAAGTATTTTGGGTAGGTCCTCTGGTTGTTGAAGGTGTTTCTAGAAGTGCTATGTTTCTTTTGACTCTTCAGAGTGGAATCTGGAAGTGGAAGTGGTTTGCTGGTCAATAAACTCAGCATATCAAGGAGAGGCCTTGGGAAAAATTGCTTAAGAGAATTATATTGTAAAGTGAAAGTTGAAAGTGCTGTAGAACAAAGAGCAACATACCCAATTGTTAGTTTACTCCCATGCTGAAATTTCATATTGAGAAACAATTGTCCAGGATTTAGGCAGTTTCCTGTAAAATGCGCAATGGGTTTCTGCATCAGAAAGGAGCCCTGAACACCGATTTTGGGCATCACAGCAACTCTCAACTCTGCATGTCCACTGCCAGCAGGAGTCACTAGGTCATAAAGTGGCTATTTGGCCCTTTGAGGTCATGTTGGCTCGTTGTAGATCAAATTTGTCCTATTCATCTGCTCTGTTGTTGTAGCCCAGCAAGGTTGTTTTTATGCAGTGAAATATTCTTCTTCGCATCTTCTGTTGTGTCGTCCAAAACTGCTAGAACTTGCACCCAAAGTCCCTGAGGACCATAGTGCTGCGCTCTCATTATAGACAGATGGCTGGTGGTGAGTTTTAGCTGAGGGTCACCACGTTTCAGGTGAGGAGAGGCGTTGAGAAGGCAGGACCTTCGTGGTGATGTCAGCCAGGACTGTACCCCTGCTGTTGGCATCACATTGCATCGCAAAAATAGACCTTTTACCATGTCCTAATGGAAACAGTTTCTTTATCATAAACTTACACACCACAATTAAATTGCTGCTAAGGTTCCTGTGCTCCAAGAAGAACATCAGCTTCACCAACCTCACCCTTTAGCTGAAATCCCTTATCCACGGAACCATCTGTGGTAAGCTTCTTCTGTCCCTTCACATTCTTCCTGAAGCGCAGTGACCAGAATTGAACATAATCGTCTACTCCTAACCAAGTCAGTGCTTCAAAAAAAAAAAAAAAAAACTTCAGCATATCTTCCACTTTCTAAACTTGGGAGGTGAATAACAGAACCATCCCAAACTTCAGCTGGTAGAAATTATTACCCTCTCGAGGCACGCTGCTGCACACCCAGAGAAACCTCTGCTCCGAACTTGACTTTTCTCCATTTTGATCTCCATTCTGCACTGGTCCTTGAAGGCAAGTCAAAAACTTCTTAGAAAAGTGGAGACTGGAATCAACTGTCAGTAATGAGTAGTCTGCACTGTGGGGGTAGTGACTGCTGTAATGTAGGAAACTATATTACAGTTACTCATTCACAGGATTTCTGTTCAGTTTGTGATCAAGCCACTTGTACTCATTGAATAGTGCTTCTCCAAGTTGATGTAGCTGCGGAGGTCTCAGGCATGAGCACGTCCTATGCTCAGAAAGAACTGTATCAATGCTGAGTTTGCAGACAGATTTACAGATCAAGGTTACTGCATCTTGTCTTAGAGCACAATGATAACCAAAGTTCAAATATAAGCACAGCCAGAATAGTGGAAATACATATTTGATTTTGCTTTCAAGGTATCTAGCACAAGTTTTAAACATTCCACCCCTCCTCTACACAAACAGCTGTTCAAGGTATTTTAATTTACCTTACTCTGCTGGTAGACTGTTAAAGTGCCATTGAATGCAAGCTGCACACATTTCCTTTCAAGGATGCATGGATTGTAAAGGCTGAGGTGGTGCACAGCATGGACAATAGGGTACCTGAGCCTTCAATTATTGGGCAAGTACAGACATACCTCAAATTGGCATAGATTGCAGTAAAGTGAAGATGCAATTATTAGGTGCCTTATACAGAATTTGCAGCACAGAATAAGGCTATTCAGCCCAGCTGGTCCCTGGCAGTGCTTGTACCTAATGTTAGTTGTCTCCCAAATCTATTTCATGTCTGCATGTCCTGCAATTCCCCGTTACCACATGTACTTATTTAGATGCACATATGGTAATTACCTCAACTACTCAACACAGGTTCCATTTTCTAATAACACACAGGCTAAAAAAAGTTCCTCAGTTTTTTTTTTTAAGAAAATTGGATTCATTGGCAATATTAATTTCCTAGTTTTTGACTTACCATATTATGGAAAATAAAAAAATTAGGAAATATTTTCTCTCTAATCTGCTCCATCTTCATTTTTAGTCCACGCTTGAGCTGAGTTTTACAGCATGGAGGGGCCCATTGTGTCCACACCAGTGCCATTTTCCAGCACCTCACCTGTTGCCTACTATGCTATAGCACTGCGAACAGATCTTCTAAATGCTACTTAAATATTGTGATGGCTCCTGCATTTGCCACCTTTTCACGCATTAAGTTCCAGATACCCACCACCTTGTGGCAGTAAAAGAAGCCTGTTTGCGATTATCTTTTCCTCAATTGGATTAGGAAAGTGAAATATCTTTATTTGTACTGAGAACCTAACAGGATAGAAGATGTGTCAGGACCCATTAGACGCTCCAACCAGTGGGTCCTGAGATTTGTTCAGGAATGCTAACTTCCAACAGGCAATTTCCTAACTACCTTGGGCCCTCAAAAAAAGATGTCTGTCTTAGTCACTATCAGGTATTTTGGTCAGTTCTGAGTTACTTAACCAGTTAAGTATTGAGGAAATGTTGGATAGAAAAGTCCCAGTGTAACATCTGACACCTTACCCCTCTGACTCCAACCTCTCAACCAACTCCCTGTCTAGACCTAATCACCAGACATCTGTCATTCTGGATTTGACTGTTTGGGAGGGGTTGTCAAGAAAGCTGGACTAACCACCTTACCCATTTGCTTTTCTAGCTACTTAATTCACCAAGTGTCTGAATAGCTCTGAATGACCCAAAGCTCTTCGGTGCTTGTGAATAAAGACTTAACCAGCAAATGAACAAAAAACAAAGGACAAAACTTCTTGCTGGACCAATCCTGTGGTATGAAGGAGTACTTGATTTAAGGCCAGTTCTGCATTTCTGAAGAGTATGGGACTCAAAAGTCCCAGCTAATAATGCAACATTTGTTTGAGGTGGAAAAGTAGGAACAGAGCTGCAATTCAGTGATTGCCTCCTCGCAGTAAAGTTTTAGACCTATACTGAAACAAAGTCTTCTGCCTAAGCAGCAAGATGCTACCGTGTGTAACCAAAGAGTGATGCATGTTAGGGATCACTGACTATCTGACATCATGGTTACAACTTAAATACATAAGAGGTCATAGCAGAAAAGTTTGAAAGGCCTCAAAGAACAAATTAGAACTGAAAATTGCAGCGTGCACACGTTCGAATTCAGAGAATGGTGGAACCTGTGAAATGCACAATATTGTGGATCACAATATTCTGGTCAAACTAACAGCATTAATTCAGCTGTGACCACAAACTGGTTTACTGATACACATGTTTCAGTGAAATTCAAAAAACTTTATTTTTCATTTTTAAAATTGATCTTATGTACATGAATACTTGGAGAACAACTTCCTTTTTTCTGGTTTATAATTAAAAGAAAAGCAAGTCCTCAGTCACTGAGAACAAGGCTATTTCTAATAACGCCAACTTGTACTGCACACCAGAGTAAGCTCTTTAGAGAGCACGTATGACAAATATGCATAAAATTAAAGTGAAAATAACAAAGAAAAAATAAATTAACAAGCCATGTTTGAAACTGCAATAATTCTATATTGTGAAAAATATTCAATACTGTCAGTATTACAATTTATAAAATACTAGATTGTCAAATACTAGTTACCGTAGCCTATGAAACTGCCTGGATCTTTCTTCCAGTTTTGCATAGGCTCTATTGGCCAATGGCCTCCTCCTACATGAACTTGATGTCAAGGATGCTAAATCACTAGTGTGATGGTTAATTCTATAGCCAGATATTTGTGAGGAAGAAAATCATTCCCCTGTTACCAAATGCACCCATGACATTACATTTCAAATCAGATTACATTATCCACAGCATAGGCATTAGCAGAAATTGAAAACCACTGGTGTACTAAATAAAACCAAAACAGGAAAAGAAATCAGTCCTACATGGATGAAAACAATAATAATGACCAGCCTAGTAAACTTGGAGGTATTCCCATGCGCTATAAAAAACAAAATTTATTTGAGCAATATAATGGGAAATACCAAGGAGGCATCGAGTTGTAAATTTTTGCCTATGGGAAACATTCTGTAATCAGTGTGATCTGGAACTAATTAAGACTCACTGATGTACACTGGTTAGAAATCAAAATCTTTCACATCAACCTCCATTCAGCAGGCAAAGTCCAAGGCACATATACTCAAAATGATCAGTGCTTGCATTTACAATGAGCCATACAAATAATTTGAAGTAATTCTTTGGCATCCACTTATTCAAATTAATTCAGCCCATCCTGGAAATGTGAATTGCTTCAAAAACATACAAGTTAAATTAGCTCCTCCACCCATTTGTTCAACAAAAAGCAATTGTGCATACAAAATATCCCAACATTCAGGCCCCCTTTGTGCTAAAACTCTCAAGTGCTTATTTGAACAAAACGTGCTATAAATCAGAAATTAATGTTATATTCCATCAACACTTGGGAGACACATGAAAAAAATGGATAAGTAGTTGATTCCATAGTTAGTAACCCAACAGTGAGGTACAATGCCTTCGTTAGGAGGTAACATTTATTCTACTATTTCCCACCAATTTATAGGATTATTACACAAATTGAAGAAAAACATTTAATGGGAGGAGGCAGCACTATCAATTTGAAGACAGAATGGTTGTGATGCTATGAACATTTAACAAAACATCACGCACCACATATTCTGAAAACGACTGTGACATCTGCAGTAAATGCAAGTAGTATTCACATCAATCACATCGTATACATTTGGTCCCATGCTTGTGTCCAAATGCAGTTTCTTGAAGTAATTTAAGAAACTCCTTTACCCATAGGAGGACCTTTTCAAAAATCTTAATCATTTTAAACCTCTTACTATTCTCCAAACAATAACTAAGAAATGTGGTTAGAGTGCAAACTGCTTGAGTCAAAAATAGCCAAAAACACTCAACACACCAGAATGAGCCTTTTTGATTTATGGAGTTAATAAATCATACCTCAATTGCAAGATTGATATTTCATAAAGCTTGGGAAATGACTGAAAACCTGAGATAAATTGAGCTGCTGAATTTTCAAAGCGAGTTTTGGTCTCCCTCAGGCACCAATTAACCCTGCTCCAACATTGGCACTGTCAATCACTGAGCAGCGTACAAGTAACCCTGAAGCACTGTACCCCAGTGACCAAATGATAAACGATCAAATAACCTTGAAAAGACAGTGGATGCATTTCCAAGTTGGCACATAATGAATCTTAAAAACAAAAAGGTCTACAATGGCAACTCTCAAGGTACCAACACAGACAGCACACACCTCAAGAACATATTTATGGACATGATTTTTATAGCATCATCTTCCACAATCCTTTCAATTGTTATAAAAGTCAGACAGTTTTCCCTGGTACGTTAGACCCACATGCAGCACATTTCATGTTTGGAAACTCTTCAGCTTTTAAATTGAATGTATTAATTCTCCAAACATTCAACACTTGGAATATATTAAGAATTTTTTCTGATATCATAGATTTCTTTGCCACAATTTATAAATACACATAAATACACACCTGCACTAATGCAATAGGCTTACACTAGCTGTTTCTATTACAAATGCAGACGAGTATGTAGTGAAAAGCAAATAGAAAGCACTGGTTTCACATGAGGACTAAATTACAGCAGTACGTCATAGCTTCATTACCCTTTCAACTCAAGTACTCCATGACCTGAAGACTACACTTGATCTTACCTCAATGTGGAAATGCCAGGCAGATCAGCTTGTGGTACAGAATTCAAAAGAGGAGGTATGTTGAGCTTATATAAAACCTTGGTTGGACCATGTTTGAACTGCAGTATGGTGCAGGATTCTGATCTCCATGTTTCAAAAAAAGTTACAAAAAAAAAAAAGGGTAAGAGCTAAAACAAAAGATTCACAAGGATGGTAGAGCCATGGCACAGATATTGGGGAATACTGTTCATTTTAGGGCCTGTTCTTTAGGAGAGGAGGATGAGAAGTACTTAACAGAGCAGTTTAAAATTAGGAATGAAGCTTTTTTTGTTCTTTCATGGATGTAGGTGCCACAGCAAGGCCAGCACCTGTTGCTCATCCTCAATTACCTTGAAGTTAGGTCATTTCAGAGGAAAGATAGCAGTTAGCGTCATTGCTGCACATCTGGAATCAAATGTAGTCCAAAGCAGGATTTTCCCCCTCCTAGAATACATTAATGAACCACATGGAGTTTTACAACAATTGATGACAGTGGCCATGAAACTCTTTATAAACTCTGGTTTAATAATTGTACTCAAAGTCGTCAGCTGCCACGTTAGAAGTGAACACATCATCAGAGCATTACCTTGGGTCTCTGGATTACTGGTCCAGTTGCAGTACTACTGCACTACCAACTCCTTCAATGTAGAGAACATTCCACTTTTGGAGGTTTGTTGCGAGGGAACACAAATAGAAGACAATCACTTCAATTCAAATGGGAATTCTGGAGACTCTAGGTGTTGAGGCTGGAAAGGCGCAGCAGGTCAGACAGCATCCGAGAAGCAGGTAATGTTTTGGGCCAAAACCCTTCGTCAGGACCGGAGAAACTTCTTTACTTAGAAAGTGGTGAGAATGTGGAACTCAATGAAGCAAACACCATAAATGTTTTAAAGGGGAAGCTAGATAATCACACAATTGATGGAAAAAAAAAAAGCTTATATTGATAGAGGGTTAGGGCTCATATGGAACACAAATCTGTTGGACCAAATGATGCATTTATTTGCTGTAGGGACTATACAAAATTCCTGTGTTTAAAAATCTTTAATCCTTTTGAAAGGAATAAAGAATAGTAAACTTAACTTGATATAAACATTAAATGTAATATTCACTGTCATTTAAAATATACTTCTCTATATATTGCAATTGGAGAGAAAAGCCTTAGCTTGCAGCTTTTGCCCGATTGTAGGGGATAAATATGTACGAAACTTGTCTTAGCACTTTCTATCTTCAATCTCAAACCATGTCTCGTAAATTGAAACCAGTTTTGAACTTTCCATTTAGCACCATTTTTAGCATATTGGAAACAGTATGCAAGACTACTGATTCCTAGAAAAGTTATAAGAACTGGTTTTCAATAAAAAAAAAATCTATATATAAGTAAGGATCCATAAATCTACATCAGAATTGCATTCACAAAATGCAGTCCAAGTGGTAGTGTTTAGCTAACGTCCTGATTCTAAAGCAGCAGTTCCACTGTCAGTGTCCGTTCCTCTTCATTATCAGTTGATGAACGTAATCCCATAGTTTACTTGGGTCTGTCTCATTTTGGTGAATCATATTGCTCAGAGCTTCAGCTTGGTCAAGGCTCTGCCAGTAATCTTGATGCCACATTTCTTTCCAACTGTGAGGAAAGAGTTAAACAAGATTAGAATGTTACGGCAGGGGGAAATTTGACAAGAAATAGTTTGATTGGTAATCCTGCAGAACAATCCTAAAACTGCAGACAGTAAAGTTTAAGTCCACTGCACTGAATTAAAACATAAATAACTCCAGGATTTTTGTCCTCTGTTTGATCTGGAGTCGACTGCGTGTTCTTTGAAGAGCTTCCTATTATCAACTCTACATTTGCCCACTGCGAGTCTGAGCTGGTAACCACATCACTGATTTGAAGAATGAGTAAAAATTTGACTGTCTCAATATTTTCAACAGTGACGAGAAATGGAAGAAACTATTTCCCAAAGTGGGAAGAAGTGGTTTTCCACAATGGTCCAATCATTCCAGATGTGGCAGTCTTGATGGTTCAGCTGGTTTTCCTGCTTGTCAATTTTGTATGTTCAATACTGCCTTTAAAAAAACTCTATGAAACTCCAGTCTTGTACTAGAGCCACTCTCATTTTTATAAATAATTGAGCTATTTTAATCTCCTATGCATGAGTAGGAGTATACAAATTCTCTCTCTACATCTAATTCATTTATAATTAGAGTAGCAAGGTGTATACTAGCCTCTTGCATGATGTTAATTGTAATTGCTATAATACTGGTGGCTGTATCTTTACCTGCATGAGCCCTAAACTGTAGAATTCCCTCCTTAAATCTGTTAGTTACTCTTTTAAGATGCCCTTTAAAACCTCTGACTAAACTTTGTCTTACCTGTCCCAATGTCAGTGACAGCATCTAATCCTGTCATTTAATATTACCGGAAGCATCTTGAAAGGTTTACTTTACAAATGCAAGATTCTTTTATTCTCGGATTATGTTCTTAATTCGGAGTTGCACTACTTTATTTTTGTCTATACTGAACTGTTATCTCCATCTACTTGCCTGTCCTGATGTAGTCGTTTCTCTTTCCTTTTCTTGTAAAAACATACAGATACTTCCACTCAAATGGCACCAGCTCTCTATAATAAATTGTCTAAACATACTTCAAGACTTTGAATGACAGTGTGCAATTTAAGATTTTGCCTCCAAATTATTTGAACTACATTTTTTATGAATGCAATAAATCATCCACCCTTCTGTTGTACATTAGCTCACAAAATTGATTTTTTTTGGAAAAGTACTTTCAGAACCTTCAAAATAAACTAAGCACTAAATAATGCAATTAGAATTTGGCAGTGCAGTAAATTTGGATTATCAGTAGAATAGGTACAATAGCATTTGATGAATGCAGTACCCAACTGCACTAGAGACAGGAGCAGGACATTCAGCCCAACTACTTTATGCCAGTGTTTATGCTCCACATGTGGCTAAATGTACAGAGGTAAGGAAAAGACTTATCAGATTTACCTCATGCTAATCAGCTTCCTCGATAAATCTTAAATGGTCCCTGTGGCAATGAATTTTATGCCTGAATTACTGTCTGGGTAGAGAAAGTTTCAATCAAATTCTCTGCTAGATTTCATATTTATGGCTTCCAGTGATCCTTTTCACAAGTAGAGACACCTGCAGTATTATTCTATTAAATCCTTTATAGTATTTATCCCTCAACTTTCTCATTTCTACAAAAGAAAAAAAAGTCTTTCATGTTCAATCTTCCTTGATAGGTTTAACCTCTCTGAATTGCTATCATCCATTTCAATCTTTCCTTACACCAGCTTCAGTGCCTCTACTCTAGCTTAAAATACAGATCAGAACTACGCAGAGATATAAGTGTGTTTGTTTCCTTTGACTTTTTAAAACTTTTTTGTTACCTCCACAACAGACCACAACAAGAAGACACAACACAGCCAGACAACACCAGTCATCCTACTGTACGTCAGAGATGACCACTTAGACCCCTAGGTGTCAGGGTAGCCCACAAACCAACAAACACCCTGCGACGGCTATTGACGAACATAAAGGATCCCATACCCACATGTAATGAAAGGTTAAATAAAATACCACGCAAGGACTGTGAAAAAAATTATAGGCCAAACTGGAAGAAAACTGACCAAAAAAGGATACACGAACTCCAGCTAGCCATCAAGAGACACGATCAATTCTCACTGGTCTCAGCACACATGACAAAGAAGGACACGAATTCGACTGGGGCAATGCATCCATAATAGCACAAGCCAAACAGAGACATGCCAGGGAATTCCAGGAGGCCTGGCATTCCAACCAGAATTCCATCAATAAACACACTGAATTGGACCCAATATACAAACCACTGAAAAACAAAACCGGAAGTGATGCCAACCAAGGTATATAAATAACAAGTGGGACAGAACACCAACACTTCACCGGAGGCGCACTGACAACGTTACCGAGCAGGGTGATGAAACGTCTGCAATCAAACACACCGGCTCAGCGAGCAAGTCTACAACCTCATCCACAACCCAAGCTACAAATCTTCTCAAAAACTTTTTAGTTCTTCGCCTACATTTGGGCTGTTATACAATTAGTATTCCTTATTATTTTACAGGCATGTAAAATGACACCACTTCTACAGTTAAAATATCATTTTTTTTTAAAATCACAATTTTTCATAGAAAAAGTGTCAAAATTTGACGCTTAGCCACACAAGGATATTTGGACAAGTAACCAAAAGCGTGGTCAGAGGGACTTCAGGAACATCCTAAAAAGGAGCAGAGGTAAAGAGGGGGGAAAAGAGATTCAGGTGCAGTTCAGGCAAGGTGGAGGTAGGGTTGCCAAAGGCAGAGTAATAAAACACCATTCACATGAGGCTAGGATTGGTTTTAGGGTAGGAGACCTTGTAAAAGCTGGTGGACGCTACAGAGGCAGGACTGCGGTAGTCGAAGGATTTCTAAAAGTAAACTTTTACAGAGCTTTGGGAAACCACGAAGATAGCCATTGTGCAGTAGGACAGTCAACGTTTAATTGACTTGCATTGGAAGTCACACATAGGCAAACAAGTGGGAAACTGGGAATACTTTGACAGTATTCCACACTGCTTTTGAGTCTGTCTCTTGCTTTGATGTGTTTCAATCAAGGAGAAAGAAAAAAAAACAACACTTCATGAATCAAGATAACAGGGTGACTTTGCAATGAGACATGAAACTGGGCAGAGCAAAGTAGACAATAACTGGAAGGTTTCCAATTAATTTTATCACAGGACGGGCAATTTCTTTAATGGACGTTTTACACAAAATGAAATCTGGCTGCACTAAGTGGTGGGATGACTGAAGAGTCTGAACATACCAGTGCAGAGTTTCTAAAATTGTCAGCCATACATCTAAAAAAATACAGACAAGCTACGTTTAATAGTATGTTGCAGTGGAACAACATGTCGTTTCATCCAGAGAAAAAGCTCTCTTTGTGAAAGCAGGCCCAATAAATTCATACGTTTTGGCAGCCATTGCATAGCTATTTTCTACCTTAAAAAAAAAGTTTCCTTGCATTTAATCCTCTTATACCTTACTAAGGCCCTATGCTGCTATGTCCTGGCTTCTGTATAAGAGGAGTCGGGCACTGAAATATAACCTTACACAAACTCAGACCACACCAAACTGTTTCATAATCAATGAAATCCTTAAATACCAGTATTTAAGTGGGTAGAAAGAAGATAGGCGCCAAACTAATGGTCTTTGGAAAAACAAATTGCACAGTGCCAAGTATGCCATGGAGCAAATTACATACGAATTTGCAAGCCTTCTATGAACTTCTGTCTTCTTGCAGAATCATGGTGCCCAAATTGTGATTGACTGCAACAGCCATAACAAATCACCATCTGCAGGATCAAAACCATAGAACTCTCGATCCCCTCATTAGTCTATCCAAAATAAAAATCAATAGGATTTTCAACTTTAAATCTTGCATGACCATATCAATTCTCTTGATTTATCATATTATGTATGTTTTGGTACATTAATGGTAAGTTTGGTCATTTCCTGTACGTCAGTCCTCAATTTTATATAAAAGCCTACTCTAGATCAAGGTCATTTTACAAAATGTATCCTGTAATTACAGTCAATTCCATTAACCAACCTCGCCATGCTTGATCCAGCAGACCTATCCATTCTCTAACTCAACCTTTGATACATTTTCAATAAGATTGAGTGTCCACACAACTATGGCCTATAACCCCGACAAGAGTAACCATAATTCTGTTGCACAGAATTATCAACCAGCTTACCGATTCATTCTTAATATTCGAAGAAACCATTGCTATTGCTGAAATAGAGTACAATGCTTTCTTCTGACACTTGAAACCATTCAGCAAAGTTTGGGTTTTTTAAAAAAAAAAACATCTAGTCAAAGCCATCTTTGCCTGGCTAAACAATGATCAACATAATAAATGTCGTGGATCAAGTGAAGTAACAATTTCCTTGAAAGCACCTCCCAAATCCATGCATGACATCTATCTACACCAGGAACACCATCACCTGCAAGTTCCCTTCCAAGTCAGTGTGAAAGTTCCAATATAATTGTGTCAAGGCATAAACATACCACTTATTTGATAACACTTTGATAACAGTGCCATGGGATGTTTTACTCTAAGGTTGCTATAAATGCAATTTTTAAAAAAATATCTGCAGGAATAGCTTTCCAATAGTTTCATATTGAATGTGCCTAACAAAAACAAAAATCTATTGGTGCAGTCCTTATTTGCCTATTCACATATAATATAACTTTGAAAACCTCCCAGCTGTATGCAGTTGCCATGCAATTGTTGTATGATTCCATGGCTGAATTTCAATCCTAAAATGAACTGCACAATACATCAAGCAAATTAAAAATGCCAGCAAACATGTAGGTCAACATTGGCAGGTGTACCAACTCACCTTAGTTTCGTGCGGTTTAATCCGTAACTCTTAGCATTATCAGCAACTCCCTATTGCCTCTTTTCAGCATGCCAAAGTTCAAAACCAAGCTTCTAATTCAAACTCTCCTAATCTCCCATTATTTCTCTATTAAACAAGGAAAATGTTTTAAGTTTCAAGCTTAAAGGATTTAAAACATCAACAAAATTGTCAGTTAAAAGCTGACAGCTAGCTAAACAGCTCATATTATTGTAATTTCCTTAAGCACCCACTCCTTGCTTGATCTTGCCCTGTACGTATCATATCATCACACTTTTATACATCACCAGCTGCAGCAGGTAATCCAGCAACCTCATTACACATTTCATGCAAATATCTGCTAACACGATGGGAATAGTTACAACTGGACTGAAATTTTTGAAGCAGCTGAGGTTACCACTGCCAGAAAGAGACAATGTAGGATCACAGATGGATCTGAACAAGGGAAGGTTATTCAGCCCATTGTGACTGTACCTGGTGGTCAGGCCTGCATTCACTCCCACTGCCTGTATCCTTGTGACTGACTGAGGTACACGTCACTGCTTTTAAAAGAAGTTAATCTGGCTCCCATCATCTCCTGCTGTTATCATTTCAGCAGTGTAAACCTGCTTGTAGAATCCTTTTAAGCAGAAGTTCTCAACAGGGATCTGCAAAATCGATAAGGGGTCCAGAGAATTTGCAGATGCAAGTCTTGGGCAGTCTGTCCACACCTTTCGCCAATCAATTTTAAAAAGAATTTTCACTTAGATGTACTATTCAATTCATGCAATGGGCAGAGAGCATTTCACCCATTCACAGGCACAAAGAGGCTTACAGCTGCAGTATGCCTCTCATCCAAGGTTTAACCTGATACATAGCACCAGCCTCAAGTTTCCCATTAAGAAAGTAAAATAGAAATAATGCCTATACTGAATTGCACGTTAAATTTTTAAACAAAAACATGTTCTTTTACAGAAGGCAACGGAGTTTGCTTTAAGAGTGTAGACCTCAGAAGGGAAAAAGTTGACAATCCAGATCTGGGCACTGCCCAAGACATACTAGGTCTTAAGTAAAACAAACAAAAAATAAGATCACTGGATAAAATCAGTTGATCTGCCAGCATCTGTGGAGAGAAAACAGTTAGCTTTCGATTCCAGAGACTTGAAATTGGGTCACTGGACTTGAAATTTTAGGTGCTTTCTCTCCACAGATGCTGCGAGACCTGCTGAGTTTTTCCAGAGATTTGTTTTTTGCTTGTTATATTCTACTTCAAGTGTGCTTTTCTACATCTTTCCCTTTGTTCCTATAATTTCCAAATTCTGTTCACTTGCAATTCCTCCCCATCAAACCCATTTCTAATTAAAGATAGCGTATTGTAATGAAAGGTGTGAATTATCTATATTTTAATATAATTTAGAGGCACGTGAGTTTTGGTTTGTGCAGCTGAAGGGGCTAAACTATCAGCTTGTAAATGTTTCTTAGGGTCCCACTTGGGGCGCAATGGTAGCGTCCCTACCCCAGATGAGGCGGCTTCGGTTCAAGTCCCACCTGCTCCAAAGGTGCGTAATTACATCTCTTGAATAAGTTGATTAGGAAAACTAACTGTTTCTGCAGGACAGACGATTTGGTGATGGAAAAGAAATATTTAGGTGCGTGTAAGAGTTCTGGGTGTTGAAAACAAGTGTTTCTGTTGTCACGGTGACGTATTTTTAAAAACATAGTCTGAGAGATAGTTCTTGGAGGCTAATGGGAAATTGTTTACAGGAGGAGAGTTTTATCAGGGGACAAAGTAAACAGTTGTGCATTAGGCTCTCAGTTTAGATGGTCAGACATTGATTTCTTTTTCAATTTGGGAAAGATCTATAGCATGGGGTTAAAAAAAGCAGCTTTTGGATTTCAGTTTGGCAGTTCTGCAGAAGACTTGGTCAAAGCTGGCTGTATGAACTAGGTGTCCTAATGAAAAGAGATCGCTTAGAATTGTTAAGCAATAAGCTCCTTAGCATAAGCTGATGACGTTGACCTACCTGTCATTTTCAGGAATCTCATCAATACTTCCATACCCAGGGACTGGAAGTGGACAGCCCATATGATTGTAAGCAGCTATTCTAGGGGCTGGCAGTTTAAACTTATCTGGCTGCTGTCTGTGAGCTTCCTCTGCCTGCAGTCGTTCATTTTCCTTCTCACAAACAAAGCACTCAAACCCATTCAAATAGTTAGGCTTGTTAATATCGTTCACACCCCATTCCCTCTTTTCTAAACTCTCCAGCAGCAGAGTGTTGCTGATGCCACCTGGCTGTTTGTACTCTAGATACTTCAAATACTCGTCGTCATTTTGGTCAAGGAAATTTATGTAGTCTGCCAAATCCTTTGGTGATTCAAAGTCATCGATTAGAATTACAGAATGCGAATTGGGCATCCAGTCTTGTACCACTGGGGAGCCACGATAGATTGGCACAGCTCCCAAGTGCATGGGGCGCCACAATTTCTCAGTCAAATAATCGTCACATATCGCGTTCTCCATGGCGAGGTGAAATTTATACTGGCTTATGAAATCCATGAACTCTGCATCTTCGGTTGTGGCTGTTAGCGTGTCGATCAATCGATCATTAGGCAAGTTTTTGTTTTGCAGACACTGGCCGTAAGAATCGATCTACATGTGAGAGAAGGAAACAAAGTTGAACTACGGTCAGTCAATGTGCATCTCAAGGGTCATTTTACATTACAGTTGAGGTAAAAGAAATTGCTGTCTGGTTTAGCAATAGTAGAGGTGAAATCTGGACAGAATAAAAAATAACTAACGTGGATAGCTCTTACCAATGGGAGAACAAAAAGGCATTTTTTTGGCTGTAAAAGAAGAGAGGTATATCAGGAATAAGCAGAGGGTGATCAGATATTCTGCTTTCACAATGACAATCCTACTTCTTCAGTAACAAAAATAGAAGTTGCTGGAAAAGCTCAGTGGGTCTGGCAGCATCTGTGAAGAAATAAAAGCAGAGTTAATGTGTCAGGTCCAGGTCTGGGGTATGCGATGGCATAGCGGTATTACCGCTAGATTATTAACCCGGAGACCCAGCTAATGTTCTGGGGACCTGGGTTCGAATCCTGCCATGGTAGATGGCAGAATTTGAATTCAATATTAAATCTGGAATTAAGAGCCTAATGATGATCATGAAATCATTGCCGATTATCAGGAAAAGCCCATCTGGTTCACTAATGTCTTTTAGGGAATGAAATCTGCCATCCTTACGTGGTGAGGCCAACATGCAATTCCAGACCCACAGCAGGGTGGTTGGCTCTGAACTGCCCTCTAAGCAATTAGGGATGGGCAATAAATGCTGGTCTAGCTAGTGACGCCCACATCCCATGAATGAATTTTAAAAATTGCCTTGGTTTACACCTTTTAGCTAAGGTCTAAACCATGGCTAGAGGAGAAAGTATGTGAAAATTCTTCCTGCTAAACAATATTGCACTACTCACAGTCAACCTGTATCCCTCACCCCCATCACCCCCTTGACACTATTATGAGGGGTGTCACTAACCTCTTGGCACCATTGTGAAGAAGTCTTTAAATAATCCACATAATAGGGTTGCCACCCATGGCTGGACATATGACAGCTCTGATCAAAACTCACTGGACTCGAAACATTAACTCTGCTTTCTTCCTACAGATGCTGCCAGACCTGCTGAGTTTTGTCAGCAATTTCTTTATTTTCTTTCAGATCTCCAGTTTTTTTGCTTTATTTAATGTTCTGGGAGATGTTATCGCATGATCTCCCACCATCCACTACTACCGCCAGACACATGCCATTGGTCAGCCAACATGGTAACTATCAAAGAACTCTGTCTTTTAATTGTTTTCTGGTTTTGTCTTTTGCCAATCTGGTCATCCTAGTTGAGCAGAAACTCAATTTCACATAAAACCCATGCTTCTAGTAGTGTAAACATAAGTTCAAACACAGTTAGTATCAAAACACTAAATTTAGAACAGTTAATTTCAGTCAGCCAGTCATTGTTAACACTCCAAAATTAATGTAATCATGAGGTACTTTTGGCACCGAACCACTAAGGATCCTACTACAGCATTGGAAAATGAACGGAACAGTAGACTGTAGTGACTGTAACAAGGTCAGCCAGGTAGACATCATAGAATACGAATTCTCTGACTGTTACTGTTAATCTGGCCCATTTGGTCATTTTAGTTAAACACAGAGACGACAACAATGCCCTCAGTTCTTTTGTCCAGATCATTAATGCATAATGCAAAACACTATGGTCCCAACACTGAGCCCCGCAGAACTCCACGAGTCACCAGATGCCATCCTGAAAAAGACCCCCTTACCCCCACTCTGCCTGATGCCAATGGGCCAATCCTCTGTCTATGCCACTACATTGCTTCTAATACCGCAGGCTCTTGTCTTCTTTAGTAGCTTCCTGTGCTGCACCTTGTCAAAGGCCTTGTGGCCTTGACTGGATGGCAGTTAAACTACCAAACAAAATCTTAAACAAGGTATGATGCTCTCTATTGCTACAGAACATAAACATCCAAGATTTAGAAAAACACAAATAGGATGTATTAGACTAAAAGACATAAGATTCAATGTTTAAATATAAATGGAGTTTGAATGGCAAACAAAAACTGTATCAATACTGCTGTGACAGCAGTACTGCGGCAATCAGTATAGAATATTTCAAAACAGCTTTAATGTTTGTTATCTACAGTTGACTGTACCTCATTCTGAAGTGAATATTGTGATTTCTCCTCTTATTTGTAGATTTACACTGCCACCTACTGCAATGTTACATTGTGTCTTGCACCTCTTCAAGTAGCCTGGGTTATAATTTACTACTTTGGATGAACTTCCATTAATGTTAGGACAGTAATATTAGGGAACAGATTCAACTAAAATTAGGTGTGAATGCACACTCCCACACCAGCTCTACAGTGAAGATCTGTCTAATCTTCCCTCAAAGTTTAAGAAAAAAGGTGCATTGCAAATTCATATAAACTAGAAGTAGGCCATTCCTCCCCTTCAAGCCTAGTCCAATTTTTCATATTATTTGGAATAATTTTGGCCCTTTCCACATACTCTTTCCACTACCACATTCACTGCCCCCCTCATCATCCAGCACCCATTCCATACCCCAACCCTCCGTCTATGTACACATCCCCTCATCCAGCACCAAGCCCATACCCACACCGCACACCTCCTGCCCTCACCCTGCAACTGGCCCACACCTGCCGCC